CCCCCCCCCCCCCCCCCCCCCCAAAAAAAAAACAGATTTGGGGTTTTGTAAAGATAAAGATAAATTTGGGAATGAGCTTCGATTGTCATATACTCTCTCTTTAAGATTCCAATGTGTTCTCTTTTGAGTTCAATTGCATAGTTACTGAATGGCTACAAGAGCTTAGAATCTTGTTTTTCAGTAAAACTGCAATATGTAATATATTGTACTAATTAGTTTTGATTTATTGCATTTGTTGGCATATAATCGTTACTATGATGTACTGCTGAAAGAAATTACTGATGTCATACTTTTTCTGAGATTTATCTTGATTTCCTGTTTATTCTTCAAGTAAATTATGGGATTACTAGTCTATTTTAATGCGTTATGTAGAATATTTTTCATAAACTCCCATGTTTATACAGGAAATGGAGAACCATGGTTTGATCTGGACTCGGTTCTCGATTCTGATGGTGAAGAAGAATTTTATAGCGTTCAAGATGGCAAGTAGTTTGAATATTTTGCTACTTTTTGCTTCTGTATATTGTAATGTTAATTATCAAGTTTTTTGTTTTATTCTATTTGCAGATGTTTCTCAAGCTGGATCCATATCAACTGGTGTTACTCCAAGATTTTCAAATATAGCATATTTTAATGGCACCGAATTTCAGCTGATTTCTGATGAACCACAAAATGAGGCGAGGGATTCAGCTCATTTGGAGAAAGCCTCAGTTCAATGCAGAGATGAAAGTGCTGGCAATGAAGACGATACGGGAATTTCTCACAACTGTGGACTTCTATCGAACACCTTGCTTCCATGTCTTGCTTGTGCCGAGTCCTTAGACCAAAAGAGAAAATTGCAAAGCCCAAGATCACCTGGTTTGAGAAAAAAACTGTCCCTTACTACTTCTTTTAAAAGGAGAGACGGACAACCAAATACTATCATACGTAAGTGTTTTCGCTCTTTGCCTTTTGGTGAAACGTTATAGTCACTAGAATTTTTGCAAGCGAGAAAGAAAAAACATGCTATGTTTAATAATGATTAATGATTATGTGTCTGTTTTATGTTCAGCATCTCCAAAGGCCATTTTGGGAAGGCCCATAGCAGGTTCTCAAGTAACTCGTTCCCTGCTAGAGAAGAAAATGTCTGAATCTTGGTCACAGATTGAGTCAAGTATCTTCAAAGTCCGTGGACGAAATTTTCTTAGGTGAGTCATCTATCTGAACGTCTCTCTCTTCCATAAATAACTCAATAGCCGCACCCAAATGTCATGGCATATGCTGGTTATTACTTTGGGCAAGTAAACTCTAGTAATTCATTTTGGTATGCCAAACTGTGTTTTGACAGGGATAAAAAGAAAGACTTTGCTCCAAATCTTGCTGCATTCGAGTCGTTTGGAGTAGATATATTCTTATCTCCACGCAAAATTCCTCACATAGCTCGATTTGTGGAACTTCCTGCTATTGATGCATATGGCGAAGTCCCTCCCATCCTTGTTGTAAACCTTCAGGTATATTTACCATTTCTATAAATTAGTTTAATTCTGTTTCAAGGATCTTTCTTGTAGCAAAATGAAATGTAATTACATATATAGCCCTGTTTGGTACAGATTAAAATGTAGATTTTAATCTAAGTCAAAGTCAGCAATTAATTTTAATCACATATTCATGGGAACCACAATTTTTAACCATGCATTTCATCAACTTTTACAAAATCTACTAAAAAGCCGATTTTAATCTCATAGATGCCACCCAGAGGATACATATCAATGCTGATTTATTTGTCTTAATGCCTCAGATACCACTTTATTCTGCCACCATATTCCAAAATGAATATGACGGAGAGGGAATGAATTTTGTTTTTTATTTCAAGCTGTCAGAAAATTATTCAAAAGCTCTTCCTCTTCACTTTCGAGAAAATATCAGGGTAAGATGAAGGCTTTCTCCTATTTCTAATACATCTGAAGTTCTATAAAAATAAAAATAAATAAATAAAATTTGTCACAAACTTTTGTCTCTTTGCCTATACTAAAACAGACGATAGTTGATAATGAAATAGAGAAGAGTAAAGGTTTTCCCATGGATACAAATGCACCCTTCAGGGAAAGATTAAAGATATTGGCTCGGGTTGTGAACGTAGAGGATCTTCACTTAAGCTCAGCTGAGAGGAAGCTGATGAATGCTTACAATGAGAAGCCAGTTCTTTCACGCCCTCAGCACGAGTTTTACTTGGTAAAGTTACTTAGGCACTTCTTTGCATGGTTTGGTTCTTTTAATATTTTCCTATAGAGTTACACACGTCTCAGTGAGTGGTTCATAATTCATCTCTAAATAAGGTAAGTTTAAAATTGATAACTTTCGTGGAGTTATCCCATATTCATTCTTCAATTGTTTGCTCTCTGACGATAAAAGTGTGATTACCTTCAAGCAAAAAAATTGTTATCTCATTTCAAAAGAGGCACTCAATCTTACTGTTCATACCTACCTCACCCCCACGCCAAAAAAAGGAAAAAGATGCAAGTACAAGGGGCTGTGCCAGGTGAGAGAGGAGGTGGGGGCGGGCCCCACTTTTTTCTAATGTGTGTGGGGCCTGACCCTTACAGTGAGGGGCCTGTGAGGCACCTGTGAACCGAGAGCAATCCTTTATATACTAGAAATATTAGGCTGGCCTTGAAAGATATAAGAATGACCCAGTCTCAGGGGTAGACCCACATGGGGTCATGTAATATCAAATG